TGTGATGCTTGAAATTGTCTAGAAATTCTCAGGGAAACTTGAGGTGAGACCCATGCTGATAGAAATGTCCAACACCAATGGTGGAAGTTACGCAAAAATTATGACTAAAGAGGTCACTCCAGCGTCACACAATATGTGCATCTATGGAGATTTTCAATATATAGTCCAAAAAGCAATTAAAGATTACTTCCTTAAATAAGGAAGTGGGAGGTATCTACTACCCAACACACATTCCTGACTTAATGCACTGAGTTATTGACACACTGGGAGCCAACAGAAAATTAAGAGTAAAAGAACAGCTGAAATCCAACATTCTACTTCTTGTTTGAGCAGGTGGCAGAGAATTAATCACCTTTACATGTCGGAGGACTAGGGGACCATCCAAAGTGGTAGCACTGAAGAGAGTCTGCTCCGATGAGAGTGAGGAATCTATTTCTGCAGGAGAATTTCAACACGTCTCCAATGACATATTTCTCTTTCCGGGGCTGAACAATTAAGTTCTGCTCTATATCGGGAACGATGCATTCTCTTTCTATAAAAAGGGTAAATAATTTAATGAGAACAGATGATGAATCAGTGCCAAGTAAACTTTATATGTCATGCAAGAATAAGTGGCTGGGTGTTGCATATACAGAGAGGCATCACATAAATGCTCTCACAGGAATTGCATTATCTATTATGTCTGAAACATCCCTCACATTCAGTTGGGACCTTATGAAGCAATAGATGTGTCCTGAACACTTATTTGTAATTTCAACTAGCTTATAGTAAATCTGATTTTATCAATGACATTAGTAAAACTAAATGCTACATTTTTGGTATCATCGAAATAATACTATTCTGTCACATTAAAAAACACCTAATGCTACAATTTTAAATTGCATGCTTAAATAAAAATTGGTTATTTTAATTTAATATACTTGGGGACCAGGACACTCAAAGAGGCATTTCTTGTATATTTTAGTAGAGGAACATTACAAGTTGCTGAGTTAATAATTTAAATCAAATCCTATGTAGAATAAAAACCCAACTCGTTCATGCCTACACTCCAACGCCATCTTATCTTTTCCTCGGTTTGGTGATCCAGACCCCAGGCTTCATGGTCTTGAACATTTTTTAAGAGATCAAGTTCCTTGCTCTCCCTGTTGCACGGTTGCGAATGGTTTTCAACCTTTCTGTGTAGAGATGCCTTCCTCTATGACACAAGCCCTCAATCCCTCCCATTTTTAAAGTCCTTGGATGTATTCGTTCCTTTAAAAATATGAACATGTATTACAAATATTATTACTATTTGATTCATTATTGGACTTTTTTCATTGTGTTGTTTTTCCATAATGCAAGGAGCCTGTATGGAGCCCATACTAGGTGGGTGTGGAAGCCGGCATAGAGAATGTAGTGTAATCACCAGAATATTTTTTAAAAATATGAGAATGTTTGTCAACATGGAAACATTTCACAGAAATGGACAAATGAACAACGTTGCCGATCAGCTTGGTGTTGCCCTAAGATACATGCTTGGCAAATCGGGGAGTGGAATTGAAACCCACCCAGACTATGAATCCATCTGTCAGACTTCCTGTCCCTTTCATCCTTTTATCTCCCCACACCTATGACAACATTCATTCCAACATCTTTTCCTCCTGATTCTCTGAGTCCTTCATTCTCTCTACTTTGCTGCCCTCTGCTCTCCTGTCCGACATCTGCATGCTGGAATGCTTCAGGGCTCAGTCTGGAGGTCTCCTCTTTTCTCATTCTGTATTCTTTCCCCATGAGATGTCATTATTTACATGGTGAGAATCTCATATGTTGATCTGGCCAGACCTCAACATTCAACTCTGTAGCTTAGAATCTAATTTTGATGGTCCCTGGGCGGCTCAACCTCATGTTGGCAAGTCAATAGTGGAGATGTTCCTCTCCAAGAGCTCTTTCTACTGCCCGCACCACCTTACCAAAGGCCACCTCCATGTACCTGCTTCCTTATGAGGGAATATTTAAAATAAACATGTGAGTCCCTGGACAATTACTCTGCCTGACACCCAACACTCAGTAACGTCACTGTCTTTTCTACCAACATGCATCCCAGATCTGTCCTCTGCTCTGCATCTCCTCAGCCGCCACTCTGGCCCAATCTCCACCGGAAATCCCCCCCTTCCTCAGTGGAACCCTCATGGATTGTTTGGTTTTCAAAGCATTACACGTCCTGTCCCCATGAGTTGGAATACTCTGCATCCACCCACGTGCCCACAGATGGAGGTTCTATTTCTAACCCCGGAAAACAGGCTGGCAAACATGCAGGAGATTCGTGTAACTGTCCTCAGAACTGTCCACAATCAGGAAATAAGGAAGTCCTCTCAGGACCTGCAGGAATGAACACTCAGCTGGGAGGTGGCAAGAACCAACTCGGGAGAAAACTGCCGAGGAAGTTGTAAAACACATCATCTGGGTCATGAGTATCTAAGTTTACATAATATAATAATATAATTTAGGATAACAAAACAATTATATGCTTTACACACATTTTGTTTATTTCGATGATCCTGAAAATCAGTACTTACCCTGACAGGTGGGTGCATCAGACCAACCATTTTCACCACACACTATGGAGCCTATGGTGTGTCCATCTCGGTTTTTATATCCATCCTGGCATTCATAGGCCAACCTGTCATTGACCTTAAACCACGTGCCATCACTTTTGGCTCTGGCATTCTCAAATACTGGCACACCACAAGATTCTAATGCATAATAGAATTGAAGATTTCACTTCTAATATTATTGAATGGACAATCAAATTTCATAAGTTCCATCCCAAGAATAAAAAGCGTTATCACTTAGCATGTGCTAATAAATTATGCATCATATACAAGTAATCTACGCATACTAGTGATAAATCACTGTCCTAAA